AGAGGAGCGCGGCTGCGCTGGAGAGGTCAGGGCGGCGGGTCCGGTGAGGATTGGGCGCGAGCTCCTCCCTGGCTTGAAGTGGAAGGGAGGAAAGGGAGACGAGGGGAGGAAGAGCGAGGGGAATCGATGGAGGTGGGGGTTTTCCCGTGGGTTCTCCTGGCGGCGGGGTGGAAACGAGAGAAGGCTGGGGGTTTCGGGAGAGGGTTAGGGTTAGGTGGGCAGATGGGCCTAAAGGGCCAGCCTAGCTAGGAGGCCCAAGTGGCCAGCTGGGCTCTGCTCTCCCTGTAAAGAAAGAAACAAAAAAAAATAGAGAAAAGAAAGAGAGGTTAAGGGAAGAAGTTGGACACGCGAATAATTTTCCCGGACTCACAACAAAGTGCTTGTTCCGAGAAAATAGGAATGACCATGATTGCAAGATTTAAATTCAAAAGCATTTGACTTTAATTCAACTCGTTTGAAAGGAGTAGGAATCCGAAGTTTCCAAAAATGGTGAACATTTAGGAAGAGCCTCGATAAAACCATAAAAGAATATGAGGACAAGTCAGAGACCAAGAATTGAGATAACAAAGGCATTGGGATTAGTTTGCAAGTGTCAACGGTTAAATCCAAAAGAATAGAATATTTAATAATAGCTCCATAATTATTAGGAGGATATGTTATAAAGAGAAATCACCAGGTGAGTTCCCTCAATTTAAATAGATCAAAGATCTATGCATTTTATTTAGTGAGTTTTAAAACGGGTTGCATGATGACATGATGCAAAGATGAAATGCAACAGACGAAACAAAAAGCACACAACGAAACCCGGAAACCCTGGAAGGCATCTGAAGCTCCGGTCTTGGGGCGTTACAGACGTGCTCTAAAAGATATAAGTGAAGTACTAGAGCAAAACTATATAACTCAAAAGATATAAGTGAAGCACATAGAGTATTCTAATAATTTCCGAATCATGTGTGTCTCTCTCAAAAGGTGTGTATAGCAAAGATGATTGTGGTAAACTAAAAAGCAAAGACTCAAATCATACAAGACGCTCCAAGCAAAACACATATCATGTGGTGAATAAAAATATAGCTCCAAGTAAAGTTACCGATAGAAGTAGACGAAAGAGGGGATGCCTTCCGGGGCATCCCCAAGCTTTGGCTTTTAGGTGTCCTTAAATTATCTTGGGGGTGCCATTGGCATCCCCAAGCTTAGGCTCTTGCCACTCCTTGTTCCATAATCCATCAAATCCTTACCCAAAACTTGAAAACTTCACAACACAAAACTTAAAGTAGAAAATCTCGTGAGCTCCGTTAGCGAAAGAAAACAAAACACCACTTCAAGGTACTGTAATGAACTCATTCTTTATTTATATTGGTGTTAAACCTACTGTATTCCAACTTCTCTATGGTTTGTAAACTATTTTACTAGCCATAGATTCATCGCAAACAACACATGAAAAACATAATCTGTCAAAAACAGAACAATCTCCTAGGTTGCTTGACATGGGGTCCAAGTCTCCTGGGTCTTGTTCGTTCCAAAAATCACATTCCCGAAGGTTTCATTCTGTTTGGACTCCGTTTGATATTCCTTTTCTTTGAAACCCTAAAATAGGCAAAAAAAAATAGCAATTCTGCGCTGGGCCTCCGGTTAGTAGGTTAGTCCCAAAAATAATATAAAAGTGTATAATAAAGCCCAATAATGTCCAAAACAGAATATAATATAGCATGGAGCAATAAAAAATTATAGATACGTTGAAGACGTATCACCGCTATAACTCCCTGGCCGCCGCCCAGGCATTACCTGACGTCTGCAGCTCCCACCCACATGCCTACGTGCCTTGGACTACGCTGTTGTTCACCCAGGATCCATCCGTAGCCAGGTACACTCTGCTCCTCTTCCTACGTTGTCCATGGCAGACACCACGCCGGCAGGTGTTCAATCAAATGCCATTCAACTTTTTTTGTTAAACTTATTGTTGTTTTCTAAAGTAAGCATGATGGTGGGGGTGCTCGGTGATGAAGGATGAGTTATCGTGCGATGCGTGGAAGGTCTTATCTGAGGACATTGTAGGCTCGAGACAAGGTGGCTCAACCATTTGGCAAAATATGTATGATTCATTTCATGAGAAAAAGCATGACGCACCCTACAACTTGCACGTGATCCATAGTCGCAATATGAATTCGCTAGTCCATCAATGGTTCACCATCCCCAACTTCATCATGAAGTTTTCCGGTGTGATTGCAGAAGTGGAGAGAAGGTGGCCACGGGCTCGTCAACCATTGAGATCGTAAGTTTTGCTTCTTGTTACTATGTTGGTTAATTCATTGATTCGCTCAATATTGCAACTTGGTAATCATCATGTTGTATAGCTCGAGTGTGCTTCCGTGTTATACCACAAGACCAAGGGCAGACCATTTATGTTCATACTTTCTTGGACAAAGCTTAAGAGGCACAGTGTGTGGGACGACACACTACAAAATGCATGCTATTCCATGACAAAAATGCTGGTGATGAATAACGAACCGTTACCTAAGATCATTATTTGTGACGGTAACCGTCACCGGCAGATTTCCTCCCAGGTCAGCTCCCTCGCCAACATCGATGATGTTCTGGCCTCATTTTAGATGACTTTTTTGTCCGTCACTAAACTGGTCTATTTTTTGGGACATTTATTATTGTCACAGAAATTACTGGAGCAAGAGAATGCCACATGTCAGCATCGGAAGACTTTCGTGTATGCAGACTGTGCATCCAGGAGGAGCGTGTGCAGGTGGCCTGCAGACATGTCTGCAGCCGGCCTGGAGGCGTGATTATAGGTTGTGTCAAAGTTTCTCATCGAATTACATGCCTTTTTTTACCCGCCGTCTCTCTTCGGTTACACACACACATCTCGCATCTCACATCTCCCTCACGTACGGCACAACTCGCATCTACGCATGTCCTTGCGCCTCCGACTTTGGCGATTGCCGCCGCTGCACTACCCGCCGAGCTAGTCACCCACGACCTTCTCCTAGCATTCCCTGCACAGCCCGCAGGTCTGGCCGCCGCCGCGCTTGCCACCTCACATGCCACAACGCTAGTCCTCGACGACCTCCTCTGGCTTCCACATGCAACTCGTAGCTCTGGCAGTTGCGCTCGCCGCTGGCGAGTTCCACCTCGGCTTCCCCGCATATCCTGTGCAGCGCTCTGCTCAGGCAAATTGGGAAAAACCGAACCCGAGTTTTCGGGCACCCGAATTGTCGGGTATAAATTATTTCAAAGAACCAAATAGAAAATAGAAAAAAGTATCCGACGAATGTCCGTCGGAGGGAAACTGCCAGTGAACGCTGTAGCTACCACACGATCTTGATCCTTCGGTGCAGTTTGATGTTTTTTTAAACTCAAAATTAAACAAATGACATGGCAGTTTTGCAAAAAAGCCATTCAGGTTCTCCAAATGCATTGGAAATTGCATGACGAACGTTCGCAAAATGCATGTCCTGCAGCGAACGTTCGCGAGATGTGCCCATCCATACAGAAAAAACCGACCCGAAATTTCGCAATCCCCTTCCTTCCTCCCACTCCTCAACTGACGCAGCGAGGGAGAGAGGCGAGGGCGAGTCGTCGGAGGAGCAGATCGACGGGGGAGGCTTCCCGGCGATGGGGAACGCGTCGTCGATGCTGACGCAGTACGACATCGAGGAGGTCCAGGAGCACTGCAGCTACCTATGTATGTCATCGATCCCCATCGATACCCCCTTCGATTTGGTGGCGATTTGATCGATTCCTGACTTCTTTTGCCCCCAAATCGAACGAACGAATCCAAGTCTCG